TTCGTGGCGATCAAGTAAATACCAAAGTTAAGTGTTGAAGGCTCCAAAGTTCGCATCACTATCAACGGCAGCTGCGCTATCAGCTCATTGACCAGTACATTAAGATATACGATGGTGTGCTGAAGAAAGGTTCAGCTTTAGGCAAAGATGGGATTAATCCCAAGTACTTGTATTGAGTCAAGCTCAAGTTACACGAGCATCATACAAAAAGCAAGCGACTATACGTCACCGTCTAACTTTTAATAGATGATGTGCATTTTCAAGCTACCACGGGGCATCAAGCACGGCTTCTATAATCATTCGTAGCGTTTCTCAACATGCACAAATGGCGTTTTGAAGCTACAGACAGCGGAATTGGCAGTTTTTGCTCTGCTCAGCTTGCTTTACTCTTCCATCGACAGACACATGCGCTGCAGCTTTCTCCTCGGACTATAAATTAAATTGCATGTTTCGACGACTACGAGCAGACAATTACGATCGAAAGCGTCTGCGAATACAATGAACACGGACGGCTCATCTATTCTCATGGCGCAAGCTTCGCGCTTGAGTGGTACAGGAATAAATTTGTCGTCCACTTTCCCAATGCTTTGATATAAAACGTCACCATCGCTTCATGCGGCGATGCAATCGTAAAATTGGATTTTTGGGTAGTGCACAAATCAAGATCTGATCATATGCAATCACGCCCTTGTGGGAATTACAGACGGACCCATGAGCGTGTACACGAGATCGATACCTTAAGCGGTAGAGCATATCAATCGCCCACGGTATGATCCCCAGGACCACATGCGTTGAAAAAAAAGCTCATGAGTTTGAACAAAAATCTCCGTCGTATGAAGTTTAAGGATAGTAAATAGAGCAAACAATGTTTCAATGCCACTAAGAACATGCGAATCCATGAGTGTTCGCTCACTTTTGTGTTGACTTGATAGAGACACATCCGTGCAGACTTGAGACGACGACTGCGACCAAAGCTGCCACTTTGTGATTAAAGAGAGAGCGCTCGAAAGGAATGCCCGTACATACAAGTAACACTGAGTTATAATGCAAAGCAAGGACAAAGACAAAAGCCAAAGCAATGGATGACGGTATTTTCGTAGCTACAACCTGTCGCGGTGTGCAGTGTACGCTATCGTTCACAGAAACATCACGTTTTAACAATTTTAGATCAAACATTTGTCTGAGATTCATCTTGAGTTATCATTCTACAATGGAAGTCGAAAACTCAAGATACAAACAGCTACGGAGGCGAGACATATAGCATATCCAAGATATTCGACTTTCCTTTCCAATACTGCAATCGACGTGTCATCTTGTGATCGAGCTTCGTCGTTCTTGTTCATCTTGACCATCATTTGTAACGGTGTCTTCATTCCTCTTAACTTCACCGATGGATCGGATTTCTTCGAAAGCGCAGATTCGACTACACTGCGTGGTGATAAATCCTTTGTTCGCCTCGTATTTTGCTCATCAAGAAGTGGTTTTGTCATGTCTACAAAATACTTGCCATATGAAACTGGAATCATTCTACGTGCAAGTGGATTCGTCCAATCCAACTGATTCAAATCCACGCGACGAAGTAACTGATTTGTAGTCGAGCGGATGTACAACATACGACGCTTGTGATCTCGTACAATTGACCATTGAGTGGCTTCTCCATTCGGTGGTCGTACCACAGTGTTTAATAGATGTAAAGTATCCGAAACCACTCGTTGTTCATCGCTAAGAGTGTTAGCGTACGATGCATGGACTGAAGTTACATTGTACCCTTCTTCACTCATTTTGTTCAAGACTGATAAACGCACAAAGCGGTCTGTCGAGCTGTAACCCCCAGGTACGATCACACTACTATTGACAGTTCCCGTAGCATTGTGCAAATGACGTTGAAGTAGTTGCAATTGCTTGTGAAGTGGCGGATCGTTTGTAAGCACACCATTTGGATTCTCAAGAATGATTGTCTTCCCTTTTAAAAACTCGATGACTAAATTCTTACCATTGCGATCGTGTATACTGACGTGAAATGGCGCTGTATGGTCCTTTCCGGTAGTAGGTGCAGGGATGTGGAGTATATTTTGAGCTACTTTGCCGTTGATTCCTGCCGGTTGTACGTCTTCAAGACCTTTGATCACTTCGTCCACCGATGCAAAGTTACCCAAAATATAGGAACAAATTGATGTGATCACTGGTTTGGAAATGTTGAATTCGCTACGCTCATTTGCAGGATTTGGGTACTCTGTTGCATCCAAAACAAGCATGCAGCAGAGAGACCTGCTTCATTTAACCCATCTGCTGCCACATTTACACCATATACATTTGCAGCTAAAAAACCCAATTTGTTCTTCCACCCAAAATCTGGGCAATTTGGGCACCCAGCAACTGGTGGTTCTTGGAAATAGGTATTTCGGGGAATCACTTCGAGCATAGTGTCGAGATCGACCTCAAAGTCCATGGTGCGCCCACTTATGACACTTTGCGATAAATTTTTGGCGCAC